CCACGCTGGTCTTCAATGGTTTGGACACATTCCTCTACTTTGCCATGAAGTTGCTGCGTCAAGACAGATTGGCTCTGAACAAATGATTCAATGCTCCGAATGTTGGCTTCCTGAGCAGACGATTGGGCCTGTCCAGCAACTAACATCTGTTCAAACTTTTGCCCTTGGCTGTGTAGCTCCTGCATCCCAGATTCAAGTCTTGCAATCCTAAGCTCATGGTCTTGTGCCGAGTCTGGCATTGACGCATCATTGGCTCGCCAGTCATGGGCAATGGATTGCACCTGATCACGAACCTGCTCTAGCATATCAGCCTTGAGCTTCTGTCCAAGGTCTTCCAGTTTTGAGCTGGCTGATTCCTTAGTCATCATGTGTCTGGTCTCAAGCTGTCTTCCCTGAGCGGCCAGCCAGTTGGCCCACGGATCCAGCTGGTCATTTCCACCCACCACGCTACCAGCCTCAGAGATGTGCTTTCTGGTCTTCGCTGTGGCAATCACCTGATCATTTGACTGCTTGGAACTGGCCACCTCCTTCAATAGCACAGCAGTGATCAGGCCATGCTTCGCACGGAAAAAATCACATGGCGGAGGACCACTTGACGCAATCTCCCATGCCTTTCCCTGAGATCCTCGAATTTGCTGGATTGGCCTTGCATTCCATTTCCATGCTTTCAGCACCTCAACGATTCCCTGCATCTGGCTTCCTACTGGCAATGGCTCCAACCTGAAACGATGTGTGCATTCAACATCGAAAAAGGGCCTATCAGGGCAAAACTGTTTATGCAAGATTTCCGCATGCTTGGCCAGGCAGCGAATCCCATGCCTATTTTGGACTCTTGCAACTCCCTCAACTTCGTCGATGGTGTTCATCATGTGAACAACTTGCTTAAGATTTGCGCCAGGGATCCAAATCACACGGAACTTTGCGTCAGTACCAACACCGTCTGCCTTTCTTGGTTCAAAGAATAGGCCGCTCTGACCCGGCCATGCGTGAAGAGCTGTGCTTGCTGACTCAGGACATCTGAAGAACAGCTGAAACTGGGTTGCTTCAGCTGGAGCGGACTTCTTGCCTTCATTTGAACTCCAAAGCCATCCCCATAGGTCAATCAACACTGTGCTGACTCCATCTTCCTCAACACTTGGGTGAAAGAGTCCACAGGAGGCATCACATTTGGGAGTCCGACAAACCTGCAAAGGCGCACACGCGGAGATCAGTGACTTGATTGGTCTTGCCACAATGTCATCCCAAGGAGTATCACACGCATCTCTAAACCAATGAACCTTAACAACAGCTGTCGGCATGGTAGCAACTTCTGGGCAGGTCCCCTTTTTTTCGAGAACGGGAATGTCTCCAAGTTGAACTGAGGTGCACCTTAGCAGGATAGGCTCATTTGTGCCAAGGTACCTTGCGGGGACCTCAACCGCCTTGATGTGCGGAGCCGTGCCTGAGCCGACTGTGAGCAACATCAATGGCGAAGTGCTAATCGACTTTGTCTCTGCAACGAATGGCATTGCGTCTTCTATTTTGCAGAAAGCAACCCCACTTGCCCCACTCTTAACTTGCGCAAAAGGCAGCTGATGAACTTCGTTGGAGCCGTCATGGAAAAATCCTGGAGGAAGTGCCAGCAATTCAGGATCAATCACTTTCCCATGCGGCACAAAGGGTTGTTTTCCCTTCTTTTTTCCCATCTTTCGATTGTCATCCAGTTTTGCTCCAAACTGTTCAGCTCCTTTGGTAGCAATGTGCTGTTGAAGCTCTTCCCATCGAACCCACATGAATGGCTTTGGCAAGGAGGATCCAAGACTTTTCAGTGCTTGCCACTGGTTTCGGGTTTTCATGGCCTGCTCTAACTTTGCAACCCCGAATTTCTGCACTGCCTGTTGAATCCTTTCACTGACCAACCTTTCAGGCACTCCCTTGGCCTGAAGCAATTCACCCAAGACACTGTGCAGCTGGTCCGACACCTGAGCGCTTCCATGGCCTCCACCCTTCATGATGCATGAGTCATGCCCCCATCGAAGCCTCTGATACCATGTGTTGACATCATCTTCAGTGAATGACTCCCATAGGGCCAATCTCCATCCCATGTGTAACAGTGCAACAGCGCCACACGTTTGTCCGTCCTGTTGACAGTATCCACTGGCCTTAGTGACATCGACTGGACCAAATCCAAAGTTCGCATGAATGAGATGACCAATGAATTCGGCTTGCTTCTCAAGTCGTTCCTCAATGCCATCGACATATGTGATTTCAGCGAAACTATCCAGGATCTGATAGTCAACCAGTGCCCAGTGGTAGTCATCACCAAACAGAACCATGACCCTGTCACCGTCAAAAGATTGAAGCTCTTGGCGCACCCACTGCCCTGCTAAGTCACCTGCTTTCAGCCACGCTGCAGCTGCTCTAGGGCCAAAGAAGCACACATTCTTGTTTCCACTCTGCTTCAGGATGCTGAGTGCAGCACAGTTCATGACCACCTCATCCAGCCCTTCATCTAAGGAAGGGGCATTGCCATTCGCATGACATTGCCTATGCCAAGCTTGCAACTGCTGGTTCGAAAGCACTGTTTGAAGGACGGCCGTTGCCTTGCTTCCTCCACCACGAATCATGCGATCAATGCCAAAGGCAGTGCTTTGCTCAATCCTAGTATCCCACATGACGAGCCTACGCGTGTCGAAATCGAATGCAACAAACTCAGATGTATCAATTCCAGCCTTTGCAGCAAATTGGAAGAGAAACGAAAAAGAGAGGCACTCGATCTGAATCCTCACTCCATCACTCACGAAGTCGACGACGACTGAGCCTTCGTCATTGTTCAGACATGTGGGCACACGTGCGCAGTCATAGGTGCTTGACTTCAAGAAATCAGTGGGCCGTAGTTCAATTCCTTGAAAGAACATCTTCCACTTTTCGGTGTGATCAAGCTTTGCCTGTGCATCAACAAAGTCCTGAATTCGGCTGCCCCCTTGGAAACGAAATTCAAATCCTTCCTGTCCTAAGGCATGAATCTTGCACCTTCCATTTTGCGTACGATCTGTCGGCGGCCAAAAGCTATGCTTTTCTGCTAGAATGAAATCAGCATGATGATGCAAAAGTGCTTTGAGATCACCTAATGACAGCTGATCGAATCCTGATGAGTTCGCGTTTCTACTCACAAAGTTTCTCAGCTGCAGGCCGGCCCACATGCTTTGGAAAGGTGAGGCAATTTGCCCTAACAACGCGAGCGCTCCTCTGAGGTCCGAGCCATACTGGTAGCCAGCAGACACTCCAACTAAGGCTCCAACCTCGAACGGATGCGGATGCCTAAGATGATGTTCTGGCCAGCTGCTGACAACTTCAATGCCGAACAACCCTGCCGCCTTGAGCCTGTCACTACTTAAAGGACCTCTGCAACCGCATGGGCAATCATAGAGCTGCGAGCCTAACGAGTGCAAGACACAAGGGGCCTTTGAGCTCTGAACTAATCTGCGATTGACATTTCCGAAAGACGGGTCCTTGAAACAGGAGAGTTCAAGCTCAGTCCAGCGAAGTTTGAGCTCATCATCGAGATCCCATTGAGGGATTTCCGGAAGCACTTGTTCAACTGTGAGACCCTGAGATCCCACTGGCAAATCGAGCAAGCAATCAGCTGACCACTCTTTGGGAAGCATCACGCACCACCATCTTGTTCTTCTTGAAGCCCAGAACCTGTCCAAGTGCATGACCACCTGCAGACTCTTGAATCCATTGACCTCACAAAGATCCCTGAGAAATGCTTGAACTGGCTGACAGTTAAGCACACCATCAACACACTCAAGCAACAAGCCTCTTGTTTGCAGAAGCCAACTGGCTTTGAGCAAAGCAACGAATGTCCAGGCTCTTGAGTCATCAAAATGGCGTTCATCACCTAGTCTGGAGAAAGGCTGACACGGAAAGCCACCTTCCAACCAAGGGCACAAGTCGCCCTTGTGTTGGTGAAGGGTGGCAACAACATCAACATCGGCAATGTCTCCACAGATGACCGGGAATCGAGCATTTCTGGACAAAACTTTGACAGCAAGTGGGCTTTTGTCACAGGCTAGGATAGTGTCAAATCCTGCCATCTCAACACCCATCACACCACCTCCCATTCCTGAACAAACGGAAATGAACTTTTTCAAGCCTGTCTGGTCTTCTGCGTGATTCGAAAAAATCTTGCTATTGTCACAGCGCTGCAGGAATGCATGACTTTGTTGGTCAACACCGGTCAAAAGCCAATGATAGATGGTGACAGAAGAACATTCCATTTCGCTTGAAACTCCATCAAGAAACACCATCTGACCACGAAAGGTCCTCCACCCTCGATCTCCAGCAACCCCATCAGAAGAAACGGGAAAGAGAACCGCAGTGATGCGGCTACCGATCTTATCCGGCCTCAGCCAACCTCCATCAAGCCATTCCATGGCACCGAACTCTCGAGCTATCGGCCGGCACGGTCGATCCAGCTGGTAGGATGCTCGAGCATCGACTTATATATATATATATATAAAACTCGTACTAAGGCTGACTAAGAGCCAAAGACCAAGCCCAAAAATAATGAACTCTAGTCTTGATCCATTCCCGAGCCTATAGCCTGTGCACTCCGAAGCTGGTCGGCTCATGTCTTCGGTGGACGGAACGTGGTGCAAACTAACTGGTGCAAATTGACGAACGGTGCCCGAGGATGGCGGACTGCTGAGATAAGCTTTTGGGCCGGGAGCCTCGTGAAACAACAAAACGGAGAAAACACGGCAAGTGTGTTGTAGACACTGTAGACATGGTATATGTTCGTGCATGTCATGTCAATGCATCTAGTGGTTGCGGCATAAGAGCCTGAAATCCAACCGCAGGTTTCAAAGAAAGACACACTAACCCTCGGGTTTATACTCAGGACGTCCATCCAAGCTCTGGTCTTCGAACTTGAGAGCTCAGCTTTGGGTCGCAGAAGGTCGCTCCGTCCGGCTCGCGGCGGACGGAGTCTCGCGTCTCCAGTGCGTCTGCGTGTCTGCTTGGGCGGAGCGTGTCGGTCCTAAGCCCAAATGAGTGGGTTCCCAACCTCGGAGAATCGGAGATGAGTGGGTTTGGCCAGGTCAAGGTGAATTGCCTCATGCCTCGTGTGGCTGGTGGGTTAGGGTAGGCTCTTGGCTGAGCCAAGAATAAAAGTCACTTGATCATCAAAGCACAGGACCGACCTGGCAAAGCACGTGACCCACCTGCATCACAAATACTAGGGCCCAAGAAGTCTATAGCAGGCAAATTCTTTACTGATCTAAGTTAGGTAGGTGCTGAGAGGCCCGTGGTTCGGGTACCAGGGGGGGGTCGAAGACCGAACCTAGTACCAGTGCGGGGTCAACTGCAAACGAAAGCCCGGTCTGCCTTGCGGGGTCTCCACCGGAATCCGGTCAGCAACTCACCCCAGAGTGGAGGGAGGGTACAAAGGATTAAATGAATATGGCACCACCTACCCTACAAGTCAAAGACTGGAGATGGTCATACAACACCAATACTGGAGGTCAAGTCGACCAGGCTTTACTGGGTCAGACTGGACTTGTAGGGTTATGTCACCCCCCATGAATCCCGATGCCCGGAGCGGGTGCTGCGACCTGACCCCGCAACAGTTGCGGCAGGAGAAGGAAACCACACCGCCACCAACATCATTCACACCCGCATCTGTCAACCACAAGGTTCCCAATGCAACGAGTCGAGGTGCCCGATGAGGATCCGCACCCGAAACAAAACCAGGGTTTGGTTCGGGGCCCCCTGTCACCCTTGTGAACTAGAGGGTCCCCCCTTGCCATGGAGGGTCCAAGGATCCTTAGGGTGATAGGAATGATGTTGACTGTTGAAACACCGATACTAAGAAAAGAAACTCGCTGAATAGTCCTGAATAGCCAAAGATATAGTCAAACATCTCCATGCCGGGGGCTTATATATTCATTAACCGTCAACAGTATGGGATGCAAACAACACATGCACCAAAGGTTTTTAACCTGCCCTTTGCGGCCCCAGCAACGCAAGGACAAAAGGATTTGCATTAGCACCAGCCTCCAGGCAGGCTTTTTGCGCTGCTTGCCGAGAACAAACATGCTCAACAAATCTCAACAGCACCAGCTCCTTAAGCCTTAAGCCTACTCAACCCCGCATCCATCCACCAAATAAATGGAATTATAAAATGGAATTCCATTAGGCACCCCCCCTTAGATTCCATTTATTCTATTTATTGGGAGGGGGGATCCAAATACTACACATCCCCAATCTAGCGGGGAATAGCTGCCCGGGTCGGGTCCGTACCGAACCTAAGGTACTCGGACCCCCTACAGGGGATGTATCATCCCTTCCAGTGCGATGCTCTTAGCTTCCTCCACCTCAGTCCCCGAACCCTCAGGCCTCAGCACCTCCCGCGCCGGACACGCCGCCGGCGCCGGACACGTCTTGCGCCACGGAGAGGCCGCGTCGTTCCAGTGGACGAGGCCATCGAAGGAGGCGGTGCCCACGGAGGGGCCGCGGGTGGGGTCCAGCACGGCCTGGAAGAGGGGGAGGGAATGGTTCATGTGCCAGGACCATCCAAGGCTAGGGGTGTCTGGAAGCCACACTAGGTATGTGTGGGGTAGTTCAGCCAGGACACCCCGGTCCAGGATGGTCCTGGCATGTCCTGGTAGAGACTCTTGGTTCAAGAATGCCCAGACGCTCCATGGGACTGCCATAGTGGCCGAGAAACGGCCAGGGGTGGTGCCAGGGGGGCCACTGAGGCGGCATATATGGCAGTCCCATGGAGCGTCTGGGATGTAGATTGTCATATAACCCCCCCAAATATGGATTGTAAAACCCCTTCAGGCTTGGGAGGCTTGGGAGGGTAAAAATTAAATCACGCGTCTATACATGAATGAAGGATATTGAAGGAACAACAACAACACACAACAAGCATCTAAAACCTAATTAATGGTGACGCTTACACCACAAAACCAAGATCAACCATTTCAAGACAATGGTCCAACGAACCCAACGAACCAACCTCTTCCTATTTAAACCTATATAGTAACAGTCCCAAGGACGTCCTCGTGCTCATGTGGTTTTGACCGTCCCCTCCACTCCGCCGCCGCCGTTGGTGGCGCCTCGATGGACGTGCCAAAGACCAGCGCCAAGGAGGAGTCCTCGGTGACCGGACGGTCCGAGCACCGGGTCAGCTGAGCCTTGAGCACCGGTTCCAAGCACCTTGAGCCTTGAGCCCTTGAGCTGACCGGCCCGTTTTCTTTCGAAGCGCTTCGGTGGGACGCCGGCGCCAGGGTCGGGTCGACTACCGAAGCGAGTGCCAGGAGGTCAGGAGGTACGACAGGAGACACAAATAGAGAGTCCCACGTTCAACCACTCCCTGAAACAAACCATTGAAGTGGAGTGGATTTCCACCGGATTCCATGGGCGATCGGTCCGATTCCATCTGAGATGTCACAGAGTTTGACTGAATCCAAGACTAATCCTTAATGTAGGGATTCAAGTAATGTTGGATCCTGATTAGTAAAGGGCCCCCCCCTCCTCAAACAAACAGGAGACCCTCTATAATAAACTATCACCAAAACAAATCTGGATTCCTGTGAGAATTCCTTTTTGATAGGGGTTACAAAGCCCCCTTATAAAATGGTCCACTCGTTCCTTTACAAAATGCAAATCCAAGGGGCATTCTATAATGGACCATGCTGGCAGATTTTGCTGATACCAACCCTGAACTCATTTTACCATAAACAACTGGTTGGGGATACTTTGGAAAGAGACCATATTTTCAAGATGATGTGGAACTTGGCAAACACATTTTGTAAAGATCCTGTTTGGGATCATGATGGAAGTTGAACAACGCGGTAAACTCTTTGTCTGTGATCCTTGAACATGGATCTGCGGCATTCGCATTCTGTAAGGAATCTATGTTTTTACTGTGGCTCTCACCCAAATGTCTTCACGAGGTATTTCCATTTCATAAACAAGTCTAGTAACAAGTCTAGTTTCTATTTCATAAAACCCAATTGTCATTTTATAGGCAGGCTGTCCTGGTTTTCCATTTTATAGCCCGTATATATTTATAAAATGCAAAATCCAGGTGCCCATGGCCTTTGTAACCACTATCCTTTTTGTAATTGATTGTAGTATTTATGTTCCTTTCATAGATTGTATTCAGCTTCCTTTCTCAGGTGCTTTGTAATTGTTCTCGGCAATCATTTTGCTTTGCAGCCTCAGATCTTTAGCTCAAGAGAAGCCCCAAGCTTTCAGCTTCTTCCTCAGCTTCCATGGCTTCCTAAGTAAAGGACGATTAGCATTTGTCCAGTGGAAAACACTTTTCACAATTGAGAACCCAAAAACAAATCTATTATTGAGGATCAGGTGCCTTCCTGGTCTGCTACCTTGAAAATTTGTTTAGGAGCAATGTTTTATAAAGGGTTTAATTAGGAATTGGTGGTTTTGGTCAGCTGTCAGTTTTGAAGAAACCTAGAGAAAGCTATATCAGCTAATGAATCATAATCATTGGCCTCAGAAGGAATTCAAACCCTTATTAATTAGGTTTCCAATTTAAAGATTTAGGGTCCCCCCCAAAAATAGCATTATTCAGGACCCATTGTTCAAACATGGGGGTATGAATAAATTTGGACAAATTCGCATTATAGAGGACCCCTTTACTAATCAGGATCCAACATTACCTTCTCAGGTGATGTGTTCGACACTCTTATGTAGGTTTGGAGGGTCCAGTCGTACCTCTGAGAAGGTACGACTGGATCCCTGATCCTTAAAATACTCTGACTCGGTGACCCGAGAAGACGGAACTTGACTTCGGCTGCCGGGTGTGAAATAGGGAGACCTCCCAGTTCGAGCACCTGGCAAAAGGGAGGATCATAGCCAAGACCAAGGGTCACCCGCCGAGTCCTTGCTCGTTTCGCTGGGTAGGGGGAGATCATTTGATGACTTGAGTTTCTTGCTTCCAGGACGGCGGTGGCGTGTCAAGAGAGTTTCAGGAAGAGTCTGCAATTTTCAACATGTTGACACATATATCTCCCTGAGGATCCATGGCGGCGTAAATATGACCTACATGCACCACCCAAAGCCAATCTTGGCCATATTTGCGCCACCATGGATCGTCTGGGTCTGCGACTCACGCCAGCGAATCAGCCACCTCCCCCGGCATGTCCGGCTGTCGCACTTCGAGGTACTAGGGCGTTTCCTCGCTCCACATCTGCCGCTTCGCGTCTCAGCAAGACCTCCCCTCGATCCACATCCAACGGCTCTAACCGGATCCGGTCGCCACTCTCAAGGTCGGTATATTCCTCAGCCGAGACAGGCTAGGGGTAGAGGACAGCGCGAGTGCGACGAAACAACAAAGCAACCGATCAACCATTTTTGGAAGCTAAGGCAGTCACAGGAACAGCAAGATACTTCAAGAGAGCAAGACATGCCGAGCCCACTTTGGACCAACAAGTGGCAAATGAAATTTACACCTGACAATCACACACCACTGAAATATCACGCACCATTACGGATGTAGACTTATACATTCCCCTGGGAATGATATGCAAAAGTGCCCTAAGAATCAAGGACCCGACCCGTTCGGTGAAGGTTTGGTTCGGGTCCAAGGGCCCCCTGCGTTCTGCAGGGTCAGGTCACCCTCCAGTTCGGTGGTCGGGTCCAATGATCCATTAGGGTGGAACCCAAACACCACCGGCTTTCGGAGCACTGCTCCTCCCCAACTCGGGCTGTCCATCCATCCACCGTGCCTCATCCGAACGGCGTTGGGGGTCGAACACGGTCGAAGGGTCGCCTCCAAAGTGGATCCGTTTTCGTACCGAACCTCAGGGGTACAAACCCTTGTGAACTAGAGGGTTCGACCCCTTCTGAGGGTCTTAAGGATCCTTAGGGCCCTATAGGGATCCGTTTGCGTATCTTCTCAGGTTCGGTACGACTGGACCCGACGTTTTGGCACCTACATGTCTCAGTGTCGAACACATCACCGTACCTGAGGTTCGGTACGACTGGATCCCTAGAAAGCAGAACTCGTGTGGTTGAGGGTGGTTGGAACAGTTCCAGTTCCAGTGGGGTCCTCGCAGTCAGTGAAAGAACGTTTTAAGGTCTCCAAATTCACCACCCGTCAGGGTTTGTCCCCACAGCGCACTAGTGCCGAAGCACCAGCCATCTGAGATGGCCACAGAGCAGCTCGGCACTTGTTGCGCGAGTGAGTGCAGATCTCAAATTAATATTGCAATGCTGCACCATGTTTCAACTTAACTTAAATATTAAGTTGAAGAATATCCGAATATCCTTTCTTTCTGTTGAGATAATCTTGAGTTCATGGAACTTTGAAAGGATAAGGATATACCAGGACCATCCTGTCGGGGTGTCCAGGCTGGACTACCCCACACTACCTAGTGTGGCCTCCAGACAGGGCACCCCTTGGAGAGTCCAGGTATGTGTTCATTGGCAGATCTGATTCTTTCTGTTTTTCTCAGCTCATTGGCAGCTCAAGGGACGCCTTCCCACGGCAGCACCAGGGACCACAGCACCTCCGCCGTGCTCTTGGCCACGACGTTGCGGACCCGGTCGCTAGAGGCCTCCAGGAGGCATAGGCCTTCCAAGAGGTCTCCTGGTGACGTTCCGAGGCCGGACCCCAACATGCGGAGAGTTAGGGATAGGATTGGACCTCTTTTCATCAGCCCTAGGGATCCAGTCGTACCTTCTCAGAAGGGACGACTGGACCCTCCTGGCACCCACCCCAAACACCTTCTGAGAAGGTACTTGGATCCCTAGGGCAGAGAGCTCTGAGATTGGAAGTGAAGAACTGCAACATTCAAAACGTGGAAAGTCTTTTATGTTCAAATGTGTGTCATATTAAACCTGCCAGTTTATGTGGAAACTACTGAAGATCCAGGTCTTTGTAGCCCATGATGCTCAAGCTGCTTGTTCGTTTCAGGGTCGCACAAATGGCATCCTGAGGTGAGAAAACCACCTCCCACCATGTGCCTTCAGAATCATTACAGCACTGAAAGTGACTGGAACATCAAAGAGCTAAAGAGCTCGATATAGAGGAAAAGACATCGAATCGGACTCAACAGGAAGAGTGTCAGTGTAACTATAGATGTAACTAGTCCTCTAAAAGTCGACTCTTAATAAACCCTCATATTAAGAGGATGTCCAATTCAACAGGGTGGATGATTAATGAAAAGGATTTCCTCTATGTCTTCCAATAACTTCTTGTGTTGTCCTTGAGTTCGCTGCATTTCGGCTTGAATACCTGCCTCAAACAGGGCCCTCCCTGCTTTTTCAGCCCCTTGAAGCGAAAAAGGATTCAGTCCGCTCTCGTCTGGACCAGTACCAGTAACTGGTACCTCTAGAACCGGTTCTTTGTGTTCTTTGCATGGACCCCTGCGGCTCCACGTTGGTACCCCGCGCACGTCGTTTTCCCCATGACGGGAGCGCCTAGCAGTTCCAACCGCCGGGGACCCGTGGGGCGCTTGTTGGAGCTGAGGCAGTTGCCCACGGTGTGGAGTTCCAAAGTGAAGCTCGGTGCGCGCGCGGGCGCGGGCGCAGCAGCCGCGCGCCTAGACGTCAAAGCTTTTCTTCGGATCCGGGGGGAGGAGGTATACGCTGATTTGGAGTACATAGGCTGTATACATGGAGTGGCCATGGGGGGAGGATGGATGGAACCAAATTTTGAACATGGAGGAGAACTTCTGCAAGTGGATGCCAGTGGAAGGTATAAACAGGATACAAGGATACTACCCCCTATAGTGAAGCTGGAAGAAGGGAAAATAGACATAGACGTTGTTCTCCAGTCTCCCAGTCTCCCCAGGTGTTCATTTGGAGCTCGGAAGCGAGGCGAAGCGAGGCGGCTGACCTGCCGTTAGCTAGGCTGGGCCTCGCTAGGAGCAAGGATAGGGCTGGGCCTCCAAGCGCATCCGGTTCGGTGGAGACGGGGTGCGGCGACCATTCGAACCTGCGGGCCATCGACTGCCAAAGCGAGGCCCGGTCGGGTCGCCACGAGCGCCTCCGCCGAACCGGGTTCGTCGGTTCGCACGTCAGGTCCGGTGCGGACGGCGCTTCGCTCCTGGAAGGCTCCATGGTGCGTCCCTCCGCCGGCATCAACTCTGACAGACGCGGAATGGAAGCTCCCTGCTGGAAGCTCCTGACCTGGTAGGGGGCTCCGACGAGGGAAGAGGCGAGCGGAAAAAAAGCATCTCAGCTTCAGGAGCATTGACCTGGACCATCCAAGGCTAGGGGTGCTCTGTCTGGAAGCCACACTAGGTAGTGTGGGGTTGTCCAGCCAGGACACCCAGGTCCAGGATGGTCCTGGTATATGCACACGTCGCTGGGTGTTGCGGGGTGATGAATTGAGGCTTCTGGAGACCTTCCGAACACTTAAGCTCCAAGTGTTTTGCAAGCCCTAGGGCTCCAACTAGCTCCCGAGGTTCGGTGGTTGGGGTGGGTGCCAGGGGGGTCGAATACCACTGAACCTGAGGAGATGGGCCAGGAGCCCAAACGGGAAGATTCTGATCAAGCGTGGAACGTCTCGACGCCATGGAGTGGAAAGAACATGCCATTCGCCCAAGTACCGAATGACCATGCTCCCATCCATCCCAAAAAACATCCATCAACAATCCCCGCAAAGCCTTGGGAAGCAACACTCACTAACATGGAAGTGGAGCGAACCCCCTGTTTGCAAAGCAAAGTCGGTCTTCTGAAGGGACCATGCCATCATACTTCCCGACATGTTATATACTCTAGGGCTCCAACCTTATCCTCAGAAGTAGCACCCACCCCGGGCTAGGAGCCCTGTCGGCATCTCACGAAGGCATCCGGGCCTTGGGCACCAAGACCCAAACCAAAAAGGCGTTGAGCACCACGATGGCCAGGAGGGTCTCGCAAAAGGTCTGGAAGAAGTCCATGGGCAGCACACCCCACCTGAAGGAATGTACTGAGGTGCCCTAGGGGCTCCGACCTCCTGAGGTTCGGTGGTTGGGGTGGGTGCCAGGGGGTCTAATGACCTTCCGAGGATAGGGGCCAGGAGCCCGAGGGATATGACCTCAGACTACTTGAGGAGGTGAGTGGAGACACTTTTATGTAGGTTTGCACAGTCCAAGTACCTGAAAAGGTGGCAGTGGATCCCTAGGCAGGCTGTATTCATTCCAAAACACATCCACATCGGTGAATTCACCATTTTAGATCCGGAAACCATGTGAGAGGGTGGTTGGAGGCACTTTTGGACACACTTCTATAGGCGTCTTCATAAAGAAAGCATGTGGATTCCTTGGGATGGAAAGGAGGAACATCAAAAGCGTGAAGGAAGCCATGTTAGTAACGTTGCAGTGACGAAATATGGAAGAACCCTTGGAGAAGCACGTGGAGAAAGTCAAAAACACAACATGAGTAATGCTACCAAGACCATCTTGTCTGGGTGTCCTGGCTGAACTACTCTACACTACTTAGGGATCAACTGCTTGGAGTTGGTATATACATGGTTGGTATATACAACTCCCGTAGCTTAAGGTTGCTGCAACCACGCCAAACACCTCCCTGCCAACAGAGGTAGTTTGTGACCTGAACTAGGACCCATCACCTGGGGTACCTGAAGGATGGCCTATAGGGTTCTTCAACCTCTGCTGGTGTGGACAAATCTTCAATCAACCTGTTCGGAACTTGGATGGCCCCACCGGAGACCTTCGAATAGATCTTGGTGGTCATTTCTTCATCGAACAAGCAGGGTGGTCGGACATCTGCACGAGAAAACCAAACAAATCTCAACCATCAAACAAAACACAGCGCAGCTTTCGCCGAGTGGCAAGTGTCGGCAAATGACGAAGGCTTCCAAGTACTTCACGATCCCGAAGCCCGCGTTGACCACTTGGAAGGCTTCTCTGGGATCGAAGACGGTGATGTTCACCAGAAAGAGGATTTGAGACATGATGACCTCAAACAGCCCCAGCATGGCGCACGCATGGCAGCATGGCGGGATGGTGGAGCAACAAGAAAATCACCAAAGGGATGCTTGCTTAAATGGTGAGTGAGATGCCCCTGTTTGAGTCAAGCATGATGACCTCAGGGCAAAAAGGAAACAAGAAACAAAGCCATGCAAAACCAACGCACCTTAGATTGTCCACCGAGCTCCTCTTAAATATTAAATAAAGCACAATTCCTTCTCTGTTGCTTTGAACTTTTGTTTCAAGTGAATAAGTTGAGAGGATCATGCGTCAATTGATCTCAGCCACCGCGCTGGCCAATTGGCTGGAAGCATGGCGACAGGACATGCCGCGACGCCAGCTGTAGACCAAGGTGGGCAGAATCAGCAGCAGGACATTGGCCGAGATATCGCAGGCATAGAGCACCAAAAGCGATGCATGGCCTAACCCAAACACGACACACAGGACTGCCACACATGGGTGTGTTTAAAAAAAGGAGACCAAATCTCCGTTAGCGCCCGCTGATGAAGGAAAATTCATCACAACCTATGCGTTTCGAGGTTGTCCCAGTAAAGTACAGTGTTACATACATAAACAATCATAAATAGTTTACCGTGGGAGTCCAGACCAAAAAAAGAATAGTCTTTAGGGCACCTGAAAGGAACGATCCTGAATTCACAAATAGAGTCTTTGGACTTCTAGGGTATGTATATACAACTATATATACCGGGTATATCCCATTACCAGTACCATTGGATAATGACGGCCAGTAAAATTGCTTACCGGACGGCTCTAAAGGTCATGGGGAAAACACAATATATACATACCTGCATCTTCCTGTCCTATGCAGTAAAGAGATGAGCTGCGCAACTGGCTGGTTTTTGAGATGAGCAAGCAACTGAATGCACAAGGTTGGAAGATCCCAGGTGGCCCAGGCATACTTATGCATCAGAAAACCACCAAAAACACAACAACTAATACATAGAAACAACAAGTAAACCGATCGCCTTGGACCATATAGCACCGCCAGCACCGCGGTAACAGGGTTTCGTGTTTTGGGCGTTCAGCAGGGATCCGGTGACAACCTTCCAGTGGGGTCGTTTTGGGAGACCGTTGCAAAACCCAAGCACTTCATGTATGGACGGTATGGAATAGACATTGGTTTCAACTCACAATGTAAACTTGAACCATATGAGTCAGTGTGATCAATCATCTGAAGGTAAAGGTTGAAACAATATCTCAAGCCACCATCCATTATATGCCTGCATTGACTCCTCTTCAACGACCCCTGGCTTTTTCTCGGCAAATATGGCAGTCCCACTGGCAGTCCCATGGAGTGTTTGGGAAAGGAAGGCGCACCTTAAATACGGCTGTTCTTCAAAGTTGCACTAAGACTGAGAAGTATGACATGCTGTGTAATCCAGGGAAGGGACACCTCAGCAAAAGAGACTCAAAACCAAACTTGGCATTGATCCTTAAATGAGCATGTGGAGAAAGGCCATGCTCCCTCATCCCGCCGGCAACAAGTGCAAAATCAACACCACTTGCCACTTCACTTCCCATAGATCTTGGGCAAACAAGACTGCTTCCCACAACCCCTCTTCATTTGTCCAAAAGGCTTGTAGAAGCCAAGCGAAGAAGCAAAATCAAGGGAAGCCGCGTCAAAATTTCGACGAAGTAGTGGACCTGCACCTGCACAGGGAGTCTTCAAGAGACGTGGAGACGTCAGAGGTGCGTCGAGGTGTTCGGATTTGCTGCCCAGGGAACAGGAAAAACACATTCCCCAGCTTTGGGGATGCAAAACTAGGCGCCGCCATGTATGGCATATTGACCCCTACATTGACCCCTCAAACCACCCCAATGTAGGTCAGTATGCCAGTCCCATTAGTCGTGTCTGGGAATTGGGATCTCATGGGGATATCGATGCATGATTACACGACCTAGGGCTCCAAGTACCTTCTAAGAAGGTGGGACTGGGGTGGGTTTGGAAGTGTAGAGGGTCCAGTCGTACCTTCTGACAAGGTACGACTGGAGCCCTAGGGACATGATCTCCAGCCCATGTGACCCACGAGGTCCGCAAGAACAGCACCAGCCCTCCACATGCGGATCCACGAGATGCTTTTGGGCACGGTACGCCGTACGCGTCGATGGTTCGCGTCCGGTGGAACATGAAACATATTCACCTTGGGTTTCTTAAAATCCAGAGTTTGATTCAACCGGTTTGATTCTTGTATGATTGTATATACCCAGACGCGACCCTGGGCCCTCATATGGAGGGGTCGGGCCCTCATATGGAGGGGTCTGGGGTCTCAAACCCCTAGGTTTTGAGGGACCAAGGGCTGTTTGGAGCGTCTGGGTATATATATATATATGTTTTATGCATGTGCACATTCTTCTGCATCAAACGCAAGCCTCGAGCCTTCTTAAGGTCAACAAGCCTGAAAGTGAGACTCGGGACACGCACCACAACTGACCCGCAAAGCTATTATAGAATATAACGAGTCTGTTCAAGAATGGACCAACGGGCTATACAGGCTATTTCGTCTATCCCCTTTTCACCTCCTTGAGCTTCTATAGATGCTTTGCTTGTAGATTCCAATCAGCACTCATTCACCAATCAGCCAATCCGGCACCTTCACTGCTCGGACCGGGTCCCGCGGATCGCACCGAAAACCGAGGGTTGGCGCGTCCCGCACCAGCTTCTTGTGGCGCCGCACGAAGGCATCGTCCACCCAGACGTAAAGCACCACATCGGCGAAACACATGGATAAGCACAGCACGCCCACGGACAGGGCGAACGTCTCTGTCACACAGGTGTCACCACACCTAGGGACAGCTCGAGTGCATTGTCTGGAGCTCGGGCTGGTGGGAGCATGGGGAGAAAGAACACCCATGAGCACTCAACAACAGGAGAGGTGATACGAGTTTGGTAGTTGAAGTCTGTACAGGTCACCAGGCAGTATATAGTATCCATATATGTTATCTTAACAAAATATAGCAACATGGTATCTTGCGCAGTGACCACCGGCACCCTACCATGGATATTATGTTGAAAAGAATGCGCATCATATACCCACTGGATGGTCCTGGTATTTATCATGTCTAAATGTCCCAGCTTGTGGGAGATGGAAGATTCTGACCTTCTCTCACATTCTCAAAAACCACCCCACCACCAAACCAAAGAACACACCCTGGTCCACTGTCCACGGCCCTGGAAGATGCTCCACTCTCTGCTGTGAAAGGCGCTCTTGCGTGTAGACGGCCTCCTTGAGCCAGGTGGAGTGCACAATCGCCTGTCGTTCAAGGGTCGTTCCCGCGTCGGACCGATCTGGTAGAAGCCCACCCGTTTGGGGCTCCGTTCCGCCGGTGCCTCCTGAGGTATCCAGTGACCTGAACTAGGACTCTACTGGGATACCGAACTGGGATCGTCTATGGGGACTTCTATAGGGTCCTTCAAACCTCTGTTGGCTCCGTTTCGGTGAAGGTGGGACAGGCGTGGGTGGTCTTGGGGGGTTGGAGCCATTTGAGGAAATGAGACGGCCCCTGGAAAGCCCAATCACCTCTCTGATCCAGCGGGTTGTCCACTTCCATGTTGTAAGTGAACCAATGGGCCATAAGGGGCCCCAAAACTACTTCCAATTCTATCCCGGCCCTCCCACGTGGACGCATTCGGGTAGAATTCGATGTTTCTGATAAAAAAAGAACATTGGGTGTCCTAACAAGCAAAAAGCTGCTTGAAGCTCTGCCCAGCGGCTGACAGAAGTATCAAAGGGAGGCTGGCAATTGAGAGTTTCCTTCCGTTGACTCCGGAGAAGCAACGTGCTTGGATGCCCATCCCACTGAGTTGTTTCATGATTCGACATTTCTGTTTCCAACGATGTATTTCGTTAACAATGCCCTAGTCTCCAAAGCAAACATCAATGCTTGTCCATAATCAATCACCACATGCCACATGCATGATGATATTGTATCCCTAGGGATCCAATCGTACCTTCTCAGAAGGTGCTTGGACCTCCAAGCCTACATAACAGTGTCTCCAATCACCTTCTGAAAAGGTACGGCTGGATCCCTCGGGCCTAGGGTATGATATTCGTATGTTTCTCATCACCCTCGTCCTCAAGCCACGCATGAGGTTCTCTCCATAGCGACTCCCCTTCATCGGCCGCAAGGGAATCGATGTCGACGTCGCATCAAGCAGTGAGGAGGCGGGACCGTTGTCCAAAGTGCGAAGATTCCAACAAATGCCATCACCCAACTTGTCGATCATTTCTACCTGCAGGTTCAAATTTGAAATGATCTATTTTGCAGGTTGGAATTTTTGTTGCGTCCTTCTATGGCGCAATCACCCAAAGAGCCGGTGTTTAATAGCAGTCGATCACAGTTGTCTTACAAGGGTTTGGGACCTATAGGAACTATATGTGGTGTTTTGCACGATGAAGGCACGCAGCGTCACGCTGATGCACTCTCTTCACTCACTCTCCACTGTCTGACAAGGTGGCGCTTCTCAAACAGCAACTGTCAGATCTGCCATCCACAGCTGTACAGTCGGCTGTTGGCTGTTGGTGTTTATTTACCCTAGGGCTCCCGGCCTACCTCCGTTTCGGTTCGGTGGTTAGGGTGGGTGCCAGGAGGGTTAAACATGCATGGTTTACCATGCTTTAACCACCTGCTGAGAATATGGTTGGAGCATCTTGGAGCCCTAGGGTTATGACAGTGACAACGTTCCCTATGGATCCAAGTACCTTCTCAGAAGGCACTTGGACCCTCCTGGCACCCACCCCAAACACCTTCTGAGAAGGTACGACTGGATCCCTAGGGGTTATTGTTTACAGCAAGCACTGGGTCGTCCGTGTTTCATCTGACTTCTCCCCTCTCGGGATCCGTCTTCGTACTCAGGTTCGGTACGACGGGACCCGACGTGACTGGGCGCCGGCCAATAACAGTGTCTCCTTCCTCACAGTACAAAGCATCAAGAACCACCGTTGTTTTTCATGGTTTTGAGGGCCCCTGGTCCTTCCTCACCTTACCTGAGGTTCGGTACCTTCTATAGAAACAGCCGTTAAGCTGCAACTCCTGTTTTGGGCCGCGAGCTGCAAAGTCAAGTTAACATGACATCCTACTATGTGCAAGGTACAAAGTGTACATATTACATGGAGTGAAAATACACCCCCCTCAGCTAAGGTAGCTTTGCTCCCGAAGCTGGACGCGGAAAGTGCACGAGGGCTTGTGCAGGGCGCGACAGTGATGTCGGCTCAAAGCTGCATGGCAGTTGTGGATGCTAGCAATCCACTGCCTTCGTGGCCCTGTACGTGCATTTTAATTATTCACTCCCCGCCGCCAAAAGAAATTGAAAGTTTGGACTTGGGAGGAAAACCGCATACATATTGACAATGGATGTCATGCAATGAATTATGCTCGCTCAGGCAAAAAAGGTTGAGACTTGGCTCAACTAACGCCAATGCCACTGGCTGCGACTCGAGCTCCAGTCCCACGAGCGGCGGTCCCACTGCCGCTGCTCGCCCCACTCGCTCCAGTTCCGTGAGCTCCATCCCCACGAGGACGATGCTGATCCGGATGCACGTGGGCTCACCGGTGAAGGTGGCGGACCTCCCTTTGCCTTTGAAGCTGGAGTTCCATCACCTCCGGTAGAGGACTTGCGCTTGCCCTTGCTCTGCTGCTGGCGCTGCTCTTGAGTCTGCTTGTTGACCACATCACGCCTGGCAGCGGAGAGGTTGTCGTGGCATAGCTGGCGAAGCTCCTCCATTGCGCAGTATTGACTCATCTGATGCACACCGTCCCAAGCCAAAAGGCCACGATGGGAGTCGGGTGAGTTGAGGTACTCGATGTACTCACGCAAGGAGAGGATGTTTGTGCGATAGATCACGCACCATTGCTCAGGAATGTAATCCATGGCTTGTGGATAGCGATCGGGCGCTACGTCGATGTAGACCAGCCGTGCCAGAGAATGATCTTCGTCATATCCAAGGCCCAGGCTGACTTGCGCTTTGTTGCGCGGCGGGTTCGCCAAGTGAGCATGGCAAAGCCAATCCTGCCGCTGCGCTGCCCGATGATCATAGCCCATTTGTAGCATTCGTTCCATGAACTGGACGTCATGCTCGAAGCGATCCTCGATGCTCTGGAAGCCGCACTTGTCTGCACGCTTCATCCGGCTGCGAGCGTCTTGGATCATGATCGCTTCTGGGCTCATGTTTCCACGGCCGCTTGCAGACACCACACGCAGGTTGAGGCCAGCCTTGATGTAGTCACTGACTGGGCACTCAGTGCGAGCGAGGCCGGCCCTCGCAAGCTGCTGCTTTCGGAGAACTGAGAGTCTGGTGACCGCTTCCTCCGGCAGCTCGGTGTTGGTGGCAAGTTCGGCTGAACAAATGTCACAGTGGGTCATGCCCCTGAGGACTAGACCCTTGCATTGGCTGCATTCGACCTGGATCACCGTCAGCTTGCGTCCCTTTCGAAGTGTCGGGGCGGTGATCGGCGCATCAAAGCCAGGTGGGGGCCCCGCAGGCTCAGGCGGAGCGTACCCGCTGTAAGATGCTGCAGGTTGATCTTGCTCTGCCTCATTCACGATGGAAGTAGGTGGAGTCGAAGGTGCAGCCTTGCTTGCAGGTGCCGATTTACTGGTTGCAGTCAGGGAAACAGGCATTGCTTTTGCGGTTGGCCGGGGCTCGCCAGTGATGGCGGCCCGGCTCTCACCTCCATCCGCTGGGGCAGCCTCGGGTAGGCCAACGGCGCTTACCCTGGTCCAGAGTGTGGACTGGCTTTCGGTGTTTTCGACGGAGACAATGTATTCTGGAGGTACCGTGTCAACCGTCATGATCCCACCGGAGCGGTTCTGGAAAAAGATGAGACCGCCATCGACTGCTTCCCGAAGTGCAACGGTAAGCTGAATAGGGTGCTTGCCGCGGAGACCGCTTTGATAGTCGGTCTCCGTAATGCGACTTGCAGCCAGGTAGACATGGGCTCGATCGCTGCCAACAAACTCGCCCCCCACCTGGGATAAGGCCCTCCTTGACGATCCGCTTCCAGCACGCTGGCCTCGTGCGGTGGTAGGCCAAGACAGGGATCTCATCCGCTTTGGCGATGGGCTTCCCAATGAAGGGAGCTTTGGCTTCTGGCCTGAGCGCAGGACTGCAGTACATCAGGGCTGCCGATCTGTAGTTGTCCTGTGCGCTCTTGATCGCGTGCTTGCTTTGGCCAGCAGCGGCACGCATCTTCAGAGGCCATAGTGCCACGCCCTTCTCCTCGAGTTTGTGCCCTTCTCGAATGCCCAAAAACTCAAATCGATTTTTCTTGTCTTTTGCTGCTATGGCGATCAAGTCTTTGACAGTGAGCGGCGGGGCACTGCGGTGATTCAGGCCGAAACACCTGGCTACTTCGTCCAAGTCTGCGTAGCCATCTTCGTCAACCTCAAGGCCCAGATATTGGTCATGTTGTCGAACAACTTTTGATAACTGGGTGAGCCAATCCTTGAGGGGTTTCGCGAAGAAAAGGTGCCCGCCATTGAGCTCCCATCCGCTCGCAAAGTGGAGCGGCAATTGCTTGTCGCCAAGCTGGACCACTTGCTGGAAGGCGCCATCGACCTCGGCCATCTTGTACGTGTACTCGTGGTATTGGTCTGCAAGATACTGAGGGCACACAACGTGGCCTTCATCAGCATCAGCTGCCGGCGGCGATGAGGGTGCCTCAGGCTCGGGCTCGCCAGTGATGGCGGCCGAGCCTTCCTCGCCATGAGGTTCGCTTTCTTCCTCATGCTCTTCTGGCACGACCTCCTCGTATGGCGATACCTCCTCATCATCAATGGCATCGATGTCGAGCCATGCCGCTGGGTTCTCACCAGTTTCGACGCGATGGCTGAGTTCCTCAAGCGTCTGGAGCCGACCCTCATAGGTTTCTCGGTTGATGTCCAGCTCTGCAGCAATCTTCTCCGGCTCTTCCTCCATGACATCAAGGCGTTGCTGGAGGATCTTTTCTGCCGTGGCGTCATTTGCGACGAAAATCTCCGAAAGGTCTGGATCATCTTTCTCCCCTTCGGGCTCATCATCGATGACGGCCATGTCTGCCTCGGTAATCGGTGCAGCACGGTTTGGCTGCTCCGCAGCGACGTCCTTCTTGGTAAGGGCGCGAGCTGTGAGCTCGGCTGCGGCGATTGCCCTTTTGTGGCGGACATCGGCAAGGTTTCGGAGTAGCTCTTCGTATCGCTGATGTGGAGGGAGGCGATCATCACGAAGCTCAAGTCCACCGAGCGGACGGTTCATCGGACTGGTGGCAGCTACTTCCAATGCGATATCTCCGAGAACATAGAGTCTCATAAGCAGGTGGAATACACTCTGACAAAATGAGAACATATGATTTGCATTCTCGTCCGATTTTTCGCAATGCCATTGGTCACGCAAGTCCATGCGGGTGTTGAGGACGTTGATGTTGACTAGGCGGAAGCGACACTTGCCGATCTGAGAACCATACACCTCATCTTGGAACCACTGACTCAGCCGGTTGTACCAGTCGCTGTAGGGTCCCTGCCGCGTGAAGTTGTAGGTCTCAGGATCGGGCGCGCTGATGAGAGCGGCCGAGTGCACACCGTATCGAAACATATCGGCGGCAAACCCGACCAGTTCTTCTTGCGCCTTCTCCTGTAGCTCCATGTAGTGATCGCCGTCAGGATGGTCGAAGGGCCATGAAGTCTGGGCTTCAATGCCTTTCTTGCCAATGAGCTCGTTGCCAGCCCATACCACGCCAACCAGCAGCATGCAGCCTGGGAACTGGCGCTTGAGGCTCCTCACGGCAATACGGGCTCGTTTCAGCAACAATGGCAACTCTGCACCCCAGAGGCATTCGTGATGAAAATGCTTGCAGTAAGTTGGACGATAGGCCTGAAAGTGATCGGCCAGATCGAACCTCTGGGGTTTGCGTTTCGAACCGCTAACCAAGCACAAGGTGGAATCAGAGATCAAGATATGTACCGTTTGGTAGTCTTGGCTCGTGGGCACACCTGTGAAGGCGGCTAGATCATACCGTGAGGTCCGAATCAACGGGCCCAACTCCGGCTCTAGCCATCGGTTCTTCTCGACCAGGCCCGCCAGCACGGAATGTGCTGTGTGCTGGCCAAGGACGCCATTCAGCACCGCGTCCACGTCCTCAGAATATCCGTCTTCGAGGTAGTAGCCAGAGGCCACAATCTGCCGAAAGTGCGACTCGAAGATGTCCAAGGTTTCCCTGCGCATGTCTTGGTCAGCCGACATGGTGTGATCAACAATG